TGAAAGCAAATGTATATTCAGAGATAGACAAGACCCTATCCTGTACAAAAACGGCTACCTGTGTCATTGTAATTCCTATGCGGAATACTCAACTGAGAATGTACATAACACATATAAAAAAATATTAATAAATACCTGTTCAAAATACAGAAAGAACCAAGTCAAGACTCTTGGGTATGATCAATATTAGTATTGAAACTAGCATGATTTCACAAGTTTTGAATCTATCATAGGCTCATACAACGAGACTTCATGTGCGGACCTCACAACTGACAACAAGCTTGATAAAGAAGACCCTCTAAGCTGGAACGGAGGTTGCGGGTATAGCCAAGGGTTAGCATGAGTGTTTAATTTGGCATAAGTTGACACTCTACATCCGTCGGGTCATCCAAAAGCGCTCACTCCTGGTCGAAATATTTCCACACATTACTCTTTTGACGCCATGTCCTGTTGTGTAGGACTCTTCATTAGACGATGTAAATAATTACCGGACTATGACAGGTAAAATCATTTGGAATACACAGCAGACTAAATCTCTCCACTCTCACCCTGTCAAAATGTATGTGCTTTACCGCCACAACACGGTTAAAGCAGCGCTTATTGTTGTTTAGGCTGGCCACTCATGTGGTCGCGGTGTTGACAGGGGGCGAGGGGAGCACCTCATGGGAACTGGATACGCCGGAACCGTCGCAACAGCTGCGGAGCGCGATTTGGGTCTAAGATAGTTTGAGTCTGCGTGTGATCTGCGTGTGAGGGAAGGGCAGCAGCCATATCATTGGCTAGAACTGAGCTAGTCGTGGATGGTTTGGACATACGCGAGTGAGTATAACCGGCAGAGAGAGAGAGAAGAGAGAGAGAGAGAGCAGCACTGCAGCTCATGCCACGCTGGAGGACCGGTGCAGAGGCAACACACCATTTGACGTAATCACAGGGCTCAGCGTATGCACGGTCGTTACATTGTCTTCATATTTGATATAGTATGGGTAATCACTTAGGCACCACCATCGCCAATAAAGAATATAAGAGAAGAGAGAGAGTGGTGAATATGTATGGAATTATTTCATAAGCTCATATTGGAATACCTGATAATTTGGTATTCGATTAATTCGTTCCCCATGCCCTATTCTATAAGTTGTATTTCACCTGTTAAAGTTCAGAGTGGGTAGACGTGCGGGCGGGTTTAGTTTATGATTCATACGATTACTACATTTGTAATTTGATATTGCTATATCATTGTTCCCATAATCGAAAAATCACATTACATTTAATAAAAAACGAAGGACTAGGCAATAGATATAATCCATGCAGAGTTTAGTGTAAAATGATATATTTACTTCTCAAGACAATTCAGCCTGAAAAGGTTCTTGTATGACTCTCGACATAATCCATGGACTCT